GAAGGGAGTACAATTGTCAATTGTCTTACTTAGTTCCTCAGAATAGAAGCCACGACTTCTCTGAGAGCAAGGTTAAGGCGCTCTACTAGGGCTCTCTGACAGCTGGTAAGTTCGTCAGTAAGGGTGACAGCTTTATCCCTGATAACCACAATGGGGGGTTCCAAATCACCCGTAAGGTTTATAAGCAGTGGCTCATTAATGATTACCACTGGTTTTTTTGTGGGTCGGACTGCCTGGGTAGGCCGTTCGACGGCGTTCAGATAGTTTAATATATCCCAAATTGTAATATATCCCTTGTATATATAATAATAATATATCCCTTGTCGTCTTGCACTTTTGATCTTTCCCAGCTCGATGCTCTGTCACTGAGAAGGAAGAACAAGTAGAATAAAAAACGTAAGAAATTATATTTGGTTACTTGACCACTCAGTTAACCTTCAACAAAATAATGCGCTTCAGGGCCACTGCAAAGCGCTCTGAAGCACGTATGTTGCCAAAGCGGCCTGAATACGGTTCTGTGTATCAGAGATGTAAATAGAGTGATAGAGCGTAACCGTTTGGTGGCTGCCGATTCAGTTGACTCTCAACAAAATAATACACTTCAGGTGCACTGTAATGCGCTTGTATACGCTTGTATAAAAAGTGCTGCCATGTACATATTTGCGCCTCTTGATACAATGATAGAGATAAATCAATAGTTGCTTCTATACCTACGAGTCACATTAAATTTCTAGTTTTCCTACAAGCATTGGAGTCATGTACCTACTATATTGAGTTTAAATGAAAGACAGCTTTAAAAATTGAAAATGAGAAACTTATCCAAACTTACGGTACGCTTTAATGTACGGTTCCTCAGTAGCTCAAGTGTGCTGCAGGTACGAGTAACTTGTAGGTGATTCACTTTTTTTCAGATGAACATTGGTCCTTGCTCAAGATACTTTCAAAACAACACGGGATTTCCTAAGGAATAAGCGGGGGAAGAAATTATTATTAGTTTCAGTTTACCAACATTTCAATCACTTTTATAATTCAGATTACTGTATTTAAAGTGAATAATAATCATAATTTATAAAACGTGTCTCTAGCTCTTTTAAATAAAATTAGACACATACTTAAACTTTAAAAATTTTATTTCAACATGCCTTTCGTTTTATAAATTCAATTCTTGGTGGTTCAGTTGACAAGAGTTTGCTTTTGGCTTACTACGTTAAATTGGTTTAAATAACGAAAACAAAGGATACGAATATTAAGCCCCCACTGTCTGCAACAGAACTTTACGCTGACTTTGTACTTCGTAACTCGTAAAGGTGTTAAAAAATAATTAGTGACCTACAATGTTTGAAACATATGGTCAGAGCGTACTGTTACTAATATCTTAGTTTATAGTTGTAAAACTAAAAGGCTTCTGCAAAACCATATAAATTGTAAAAGATGACTTTCTTAACTTATTTCCAATGTAAAACATATAAGAACTATAACTGATGTAAAATAAAAATAAAAAAGATCACAAAAGCATAATACTTATAGTTGATATAAAATATAAAAATATATTTAATGACACGTAAAATAAAATGGACTTTTAAAAGAACTCCGGTATTTCAAACAATATTGTACATTATCTCTCTCTTTCTTTTAGAAAACCTTACTCAAGAGTGTTGTATTTACTTTTATGTAGATTAATGAATTTCAACTCTATTATTATTCTATTCATTCCATAAACGAAGCTAATCAAGTAAAGTAGTTAGAGATCTGTTGCTCCTGCAACCTGTAAAGAAATGTGAGATGTATCCACAACTCTTCATTTGTTTGAGTGATGTAAGTTAAGTACTAACAATTATTTAACAATCTTCTCTCATTAAAACTAATAGTTACTTTCATTTAAATTTTTTATCCTCAAAATTTCACGAAGACTCTTATGTACATGGATCATTCTACCGAAAACGACATACTTCATGTCCCAGTCGATCACAATGTTCTTTAACGAGATATTGATCCAAAAATTATTTGAAGGATATTAACTTTTAGAAGTGCACCAAAATTCAGAGCATCAAAAAAAAATTCCTTTAATTTGAGATGCAAAAAAGGGGCTTAATTAGACTTACTTATAAATTTACAGTTTTTACGACTCCAAGAATTAATTCATGGAGTTTTTTATTTTCCTACGGCGTAGAATCTTCAAGTTATTAAGAATAACAACGTTTCTACGCATTTTTGACAGCAAAAGAATTGTATCCAAGACTTGAATACTGTTGAAGTTATAGGGCCACAATTTTATAAAAATAACGTTTTAACGGAAAATGCTTGCAATTGAATTTGGACATTCCAGTTAGAACGTTTTATATTTTGTAAGATTTTGAAAAAAACTGTTGAAAAAATTTTTTTTCCTTCTTTTGTACTTTGGTAAGCTAGTACAAATTTGAAGATTCTGTCTCGTAAAAATAAAACTAAGAGCTCGTACTGCTCAAAAAAAGTTATGCATCTTTTTAAGCCATTTGGTTATCGACTTGTAAGAGGATAAGTTAAAATAAAGCGATTTTTAAATAATATAAGCGCAATGGCAAACTTAAATTTAAATTTCGTGCGTTACAATCTTTTTGTTTCTGTGCATTTACAAGAGCCCGTAACGCTCGTTTTTCAAAAAGCCCGTAACGCTGAAAAATCTAGTATATCTTTGCAAGATGTTTAGTAATGGACTTGGAAAGTGGTGGGTTACGAAACTATTTAATTTGTGATATCACGAAAGGGTGAGGTCAAATTTTTTATTTGGTACGTTATAATCTTGGTATTAATGACGAATTTAGAAGAGTTCGTAACGCTCCATTTTTTGCTAAGAGACCGTAATGCTATTCCGTAACGTTTCAAAACGCATTGTATCTTCTTTCACAGGTGCTTGGGCTGAATTCCACGAAAGTGGTTGGATTCAGTTTGACATCCTTACTCGATGGTTCAAAAAGTTAAATAATTTTTTACATGCATCAGAGGATGTTTCTGTGCTTCTTTTTTTTTGATGGACATTCCTTCGATGTGAAAAACTTAAGTATACTTCATCTTGCATGAGGTGACGAAGTGATAATCATTTGTTTTTCACCTTATTATACTTATCTACATTGTACTTGACTACAACCCCTTGACGTTGAGTTTATCAAGCCATCAAGTAAAAACTGCACAGATGAAATTAATACTTATCTGCGAGGAGGCTCTTAAGTTACTATGCGGAAGATTTTAAGTTTGTTGGGAGCAATGCTTCTTAAGTCAGCAAAAATGAAAACTGCTGTCAATTCATTCCACAAGACTGGGATATATCCTTATAATCCCTCAGTGTTCTTACAATCTGACTTTGCCCATTCAACACTGAAAAAAGTCACCTCAACGCTGAACAAGCAGCTGCAGGTAGCAAAAGTATATTTATTATATTTTATATTTATGAATTATTCATTAATTATATACTGTGTTACTTTTACTTACTGTTTGTAGCTGATAATTTGTTTTCAGAATTCAATACATCTGTTTTAGAGTACTCAGCAGTTATACACAGGTTTTCTGGTGATCTGATAAATCCTATTTCAAATATGGTCAATTAGAATATAAAAAAATGGACCTATAGTGCAAGGGCTAGAGGAAAATATTACGATATCTTTTATTCCCTGAATAACTCTTCTGGTAAAAGAAACATCAGTTTACTCAATTATAGTTTTATTAAATACAACTTGCTGATCCTAATACTTATTTTTACAGAATGTTTGATTATCTAATAGTCACAAAATAAAACTGACTTCATGGATGCACCCAAAATATGTGTCTAGTACAAGTAATTTACGTGATTGTACTAGACAACCCTTTATGGAGCCATCAGTGGAGGCTTAACTCATTCATGGAAGCTTCGTTCAGTCTAGTAAAGAATTTTTAGCTTATGGGCTACCCGATCTGACTAATCAGTATAATAATAATCATACAAACACTGGTAATTTAAATTTGCTCAATTCAGAAACGAGAAAAACTGCCAGAATAACGTCAAACGAGTATGTTCAGCAGTTCATTGCTGCAAAAATAAAAAATTATAAAAAAAGTCCTCGTTTAAATTCTTATCTAAGTCTAAAGCTAAATTTAATATAAGGTTACAGAAACTCATTAAAGTTGGCAAGATCACACTCTGACAAAATTAAGAGAATCCACGGATTAAGTGAAGTTGCTTATTTCAAAAAAAGATTAGATTGAGGCTGCAATAAATAGTGTAGTTATTTCAACTTTATCATACACATTAGCAAAGTGCAATGTTATGCCTATTGCAAACATAGCGACAATTTTTTAAAATAATGTTTCAAATAAATATATTTATTTTACTTTGACCATATACATTAAACTTGTACCTAATATAACCAACTGTTTTTGCTGTTAAAGACCTACCATCTTCCACTTTTACATTTATAGGCACTTTCAATCCAACAGATCCACAAGAATTTCGATCATCACTTATAACATGATCTGAGCAACCACTATCTAGTAACCATTTAACCTTACTAACCCAGCTATTTACTTTAACGCACAACTCATTAGGTCTTTCCTTGAATTCCACATTAAATTAACTTACGTTATCGTCTTCATTTTGATACCCTTGATTATTTTACTGCCAACCACCTTCTCGACAATGTTGACTAGAGCCTCTACAAGCTCCACGACCTTGGCCTTGGTCGCCGTGATGTTGCCACTGCTGTTGTTGTTGTTGGCGTCCACCTTATTCCTGCTGCGCACCACCTTGCGCCCACAAATTATCGCTTTGTCTTATTCTCGTACATGGTATCTTAAATTTTCCATATTTTCCGCACTCTTAACACACTCCATCTTTTTTTTTATTTTTGTTCTACGCCCACAATAGCCTGTTTTTGCTTACATCTTACTTTTCGTTTAAAGTAAAAATCTTTACTTTACGTTTTACGTACTGAACTGTTTGAACAGATCCTTTTAACGCTTTGATAACATTACTAAACCAATTGTGTAAAATAATGTACCAAGTTAATGTAAACGAAAATTTAAAAAATTCAGATGGATGTAAAAGAAAGTTTCAATTTTATCATAAACTTAAAACCTAGAACAAAAAGAATCAAAAAATTATACATATTTTTCTTAAAGAAATTACGCTAAGCTTAAGTCACCCAAGAACGAAAATAAAGCTTTGAAGATATTTTTTTTGTGACAATACTATATTTTCTGGTGAATATAAAACAATAACAAAACCTTATCAATACAAGCTCTTATGAAGAGTAAAGCATGCAACAGACTTATGCTAATATTTAGTACAAGAATGGTTACGTAAACAGAGACATATACAAGGTGCTCTAAATATTTATGTAGATGAATTTCATTACGTAAATGACAATGTTCAAAGTCTTATAAAAGACAATCGTGACATATGCATCATTGAAACCACAGTAATATTTTAAAATAAGAAACTAGCAAGAAACCCCAATAACCTATAAATAGTTTAACATATCATGATAGTTTGTTTGTTTATTAGTAAATTACCAATTAAAAGCAAATTTAATTTCACATCAAAAAAGACAAATAAAATCCTTAAAATGAGAATTAATAATACAAAAAATGAAACAACTAATGAAAAATAAATCTAACTCAGAAAATTCTACTTTACAGGGGTCCAAGCAGTGGAAAATAAAATTACCAGGAAACGCTTTAGATATGGCAAGTTTCGAAGTGTCTAAGGTTGAGCTCACGTTAACAGTTATAAGTGTAACTGAAAAAAGAGTTCTAATATACAATAATCAAAATTTAATGGAAACGATAATGACAAAGGATTCGATTTCATCGATAAAGGTAATGAAAGTAAAAAATTTCATGGCCTAACAATTTTCTTAAATAAATAAATGGTAATCCTTTCAAATAAATGCGTGTTTGCTAGGTTAGAAACTAAAATCTTTTGGTAAACGTACCTAATGGAAACAAAAAGGTTGGATTACGTATAAAAATCTATGACTATAGGAAACACTAACTCATGAAGTATGGTTAGTGTTATGAACACTGAAATCATCATTAATAATTTGATTCACTCTAAAAGTTATACAATTAATAAGCAGCTTCGTACCTCGGATTCAAAGCCATTTGTATAGATAATAAAAATAATAATGTTATAACAATATACTACATTCACTTGCTGCTTCGACATAATAATAAGTATTAAAAAATAAACTTGGTGATTTGGGGCATGACTGTTTATCAATATTTTATTTACATTAAATCAATATTCCACTAACCTGCCCACCACCTCTTTAGGATTAACAATCTATAATAATAACAGAACACAACTTAGTGTAAGTTTAAAAGGAGTAAAATCATTAGTTTAAATATCTATAAAATTGTTTATAAATACAATAATATACCATTTAGGTGCCAAGACAACGCGTTACAAAGACACTCATGGTGCCTATAATTTCGTCCACATATTGCATCAACTGAACTAAGTTTAAAAAAAAGTCATGTTCTTAGAAATTCAACTTTATAGTAGTCATTAGAAGATTTTTTTTTAACAGTCATACTTGAGTGGTGCTAACATTTAAAGATAAGGAACACTAAAGTAAAGATCGAAACACACTAAATATACGTAATAGAAAACAGTGTACATTAAAGGAGACACAACACCAGGGATGTAGAAGAGCTATGAACATTTACAGAGACATTATATTGAGGATGTAGAAGAGTCATGCGAAGATGTAAAAAAATTGCATATAACAATTAAGAAAACTCAAAAAAAGAAAAAGGTTATAAAAATTTTACTCATATTATCAAGTTTGGAAGGGACTCCATAAATAAGTAAGTCATAAGTAGCATTGTCTACTGAATAACACGTGGGTGCGGAATGTGTTATATTGGCCAAAGTAAGAGACTCTTATGAATACGTTTACGTGAACACGAACCTTACATAAAAAACAACCCTCCTGACAAATCTCACCTGAGATCTCATCTGATATCTCATGTGATTTCTCACCTGAGATCTCATGCTAAATTCTCATCTGAGATGTCAGGTGAGATTTTGGAAAGAAAAATTTAAAAAAAATTTTGTGCAACAATTATAATTTATACATCAATATAATGATTACCTAATATATCAACAGTTATAGGAAAAAAAAAAAAAAAAATTCGGCTTTCATGGCATACGAACTCGAGCACCTGGATTAACAGGCAAGCATCTTACCGCTTGGCCAGAGAGGATGAGATACCAGTTCGACAATTTACGTCTATATAAAGTGTAAGTACCATGTGTTATTGTTTTTCTTATTCACAACTGAATCATACAATTATTAATAGATATAATTTTTCCCAATCTTAATTCCGATAGTTAACCAACTAGATAATATTCAGGAACATTATTTTCTT